TCAGCTGACCAAAAAAATTCTGACTACAGTGCACTTGTATACACACAGCAACTGGTTAGTGCATTTATGGATAGTAACCAAAAAAGACTTCATGCCTAGTAGAATTATAAAATTGTAAATCACCCTCCATATGCTGGAACATATTTGACAGAAGTGGTTCTCTCAAAAGCCCAGCACAGTGCTAAAACGATTGTAGATTATTTTGATGTGGAATGACCTTCAACAATTATTTCCTTAGTCATTATTTTAATTGCTCTGATTTGAAACAATTCTAGCTTTAATCATGATGATGATATGATATCCATAACCCACGTTAAATTTTTTTTCTGAAGTAGAATATTTTTTGATTATTCCCTTTCAACTGATTTGCGAATATAAGTAAACTCTGAATAACAAACCTGAACAGCTACCAAGCTCCAACTAACACAGAAATACTGCTATGCATGTCTTGAAACACTTTTTACTATAGAGAAAAAATTGTAGGCAAAGAAAATATCAAATTGTAGTATTTCTTCTTTTTACTTTACCTTGTAGACACGGTCCTTCTAAATCATGTTATTACAGTAGTCACAGAATCATTACAAAATAGACGCAAAGGGATTTAAAACAGTGAACATTTCCATTCAGACTCAGGCCAAGGGCAGTTATCCCCCAACCATTATTCTTTTCATTCTAGCAAATACTCAAAAGTCTTCAAGATGTTGCTGAATGTAACCGAGGTTATAATCTCCTTAATAATCTATTTGGATGCTTCAATACATCACCTTCATAATTTTGTCCTGGGGATACGAGAGGAAGGTTCATTTTAGCTAGTTTTAGACAGCTACATCTGAGGAGGTCCTCTAAGGCACTTCCAGTGCCATTTACCATGCTTCAGGCATTTAGATATGATAAACAATAACAAAAAAGTGCCTGCTTATCTAACTCAGTATTAGTGGCTCAGATGTACTCAATGCAGCCCTACACTCCTGAAGTCTGAATTCAGCCATTACGAGTAAGATTCATCTGTCTGACCTACCATCATTTCCATCAAGCTCATGCTTTCTTAATTAATTTACAAAAGCCCACATTGGACAATGTCAAAACCTTAACTAATGTCCAAATACTGGACATCTATTGTTCTTTTCTTACCTACAAAATCTGATAGCCACTCCTAGAATGGAATTAGATTGCTTTAATATGTTTGCACTTGGCAAATCCATATTGCCTCTTATGTATTTCTTTTCTATTTTCTAGCTACTTTAAGTAGTTTATATGTTCATTGACTTTTCTGTGAATTGCAAATAATTCCCCACATTCTCCTTCCTTTCCTCTTTTACAGATAAGTTCAATGTCATTCGTGTTTAGTCTTTTGGTACCTGATATCATCCTCCAAGAATTCTCACAGAAACCCACTAACAGAACTAAGTTTTTCAGACAGCTATGTAACACAAATTGAAGTTCATTAAATAAGTTGTAAGATCCCTAACCTATATAATCTGTTCCTTCCTTATCTACAGTTGAGGTTCTACCTCTAGGATTAACTACATGTCATATGTTCACTGAAGACCTCTTCAATAAACATGTGTAATAAAAAAATCACTGTATGTTTTTGCCTTCTCTGCACTTACTCCAAGCAGGTTTTCCTTTCCTGCAGTACCTCTCTTAGGTGCTGAAGATTTCTTTGTTCCTCTGTCTATTAAGGTACTGATATAATTATGTTATATTAAATCTTAAATTTCTCTTGCTAGTTGCATCTAACTGAGTGCTTTGGCACTTCTGACTTGTCTCTACATGCATGTTATTCTATCATGCTTAGTAAAGAGAGAAATTTTCCTCATTATGCCTAAGGTGAAAGAAGAGATGAAAATTTAACTAAGCTGGTCTTTTACACTTTCCTTTCTTCCCATTGGTGAAGCTTATACTATGGTCTTTAGTAGAGTTCTGTTGAAAAGCCCACAGATTTCTCTTTAACTTGCACCCTAGAGATTTTTTTAAAATAAATTCTCTGAATTTTATTGACATCTACCTTTTCAAGCCTTTTTTTCTAGGCGGTAATGTAATTTCTTTCCCAATAAATAGCTGTGGTAAAATTTGACTCTTGTGAAGAAACAAATCAGCCATAATTTAAGTGCCAGGTGGCATAGATGTTTCCACATTAGCTTAAGTAGAACATCACTAGCCAGCAGAATCTTTCATTTCCTCTATTACCAAGAGGTTCTGTATTCCTTGGGCTAGTGTTTGGGGGTTTTTGTCTGTTATTGAGATTAGTTCTTACGTGTTTCCTGGTCAGCACTTTTTCTTTTGACTTCAGTGTTAAGTTATTCAGATGTTGAATGCTACATGCCCTCAGAGGACATCAACAGCCAGCTTTCTCTCTGTAGTTTTAAGTTTATTCCTCCAGTACCTGTACTGCTACCAACTGAAAAGTCTGCTTCAATTTTTTTTGTTTCCGAATGCATGCTGTGAAGTCCTCATCACCATACTCACTCAGTTTTGAATCTCTTCTTTCAGTGCTCCTCTAATTGCTTCTTAAGAGATTTCCCTAGAAATCTAAGGGCACTTTCCACATGTCACCAGTAGGAAAATATAGGCCAAAGATCTGGCAAATCCATTCAAGAATTTCATCACAAGATGTCATCATTGTCTACTTCTAAATATAGCTACTGAATCATGAGTATATGACACATTTCCTCTCAAATATTTTTTACTGAGAATGAGATATTATGTACAAGAAGCTCTTCATGATTGTGTTTGAATTTTATATACTTTTGATATACTTTTATACACTTTTGTTTTTACTAGCAGTTAAAAAACTAAAGTATAATATGAATTACAGGATTAAGCAAATACTAAAATGAAGCATTCCATATGAAGCTACATTTGCTCTTCAGTATTATCAGAAATTCTGCTATTTGCTAAAAAGTTATTAGACAAGTGAAGTTTTCTGAACACAGTGTTAATAATCTAGATGTTTTCAGTTCAACACTAGAAGTCTCTTTGATTTATACACTCTGAACATTATAAACATTAAGCTTTAGTGTATAATCTTTTTATACATGTATTCAAGTAAAACGAACAAAACTCATATTTATATATAAACTGATGAATTATTTCAAAATTATATTACATGATACCATACTACTTAGTTTTTTATTCCTAAGCATAGGCATGATCTTTACCTTTGGCTATGTTATGCGTAATACAGAAACAAGAAGGAGAAGAGAGAAGGTGAATGAGAATTTCAGTGGTGAAAGTCAGGTCTGCAGTACTACAACACTCGGGCAGATAAAACCTTAAGTAAAACACGGAGCAATGATAGCATCTGTAAGTAATTAGACAGGGGCTAAGGGAACATTGAGGCACCTGAGACACTTCTTGCTAACAAACTATAGGAGCTAACAGAGGAAGCATAGACACTAATAAAAGCTGTTTAGCTGCAGAACATTTCAAAGCAACTCCCTAATTTGGGCCAAAGACCTAACAAAAAATCACTTAGATTGTATTATCAGTAAGAAAAACCTGTATGTTGCCTTGTGGTAGTTAGTAAGAGGTAATTAACACGAGCTAAAATCAAAAGTCAAGTAAAAATCTATTCTTAAGTATATAAACATCAGTGTAATAAGGCTCTACTTTATTGGTTACTCCAGCCTCCAAACAGTGAGAAAAGAAAATTCCTTCCTTCCTCCTATATAACCGATTACTTGATTATTACTTAGGTACTACTGGTGAGGGAGGAATGTTGGAGAGGCAGCCTTGGTGCTGTGCAAGCACTGCTCAACAGCAGCCAAACACTGGGGTGTTTTAAAGGTGAACACCTTTCTAACTACCAAAGCAAAGCACAGCACTATGAGTGCTGCTGTGCAAAAATGAACTCCATCTCAAACTGACCCAATACAACTACCATGATAAAATACAATAAGCAACAAATCCTGAATTACTTATAATACATTCAGAAATTATTAACTATCTCCTAACCTAGAGTTTGTCTATGAATAATTCTACTTTCAAAACTTGTAAGTTTCAGAAACAAAGAACAGACTGCCAGTACATGTCTAGCACTTTTCATGATATTGCCCTTTTTTATTTTTAGGAAAAAAACAATCTGAATCTGCTTGTTTTATCTGCAATTATATTTGTATACAAATCAGTTTTCTCTTTTACCTAGAGTCCCTTTTCACTGCACAAGTGAAAATAGCTGTGTCAATTCTATTTAACTGATGAAACACAGTTTCATCCTATATACATATAAAGTTCCATAAAATGGACAGTTCTTAAAATATATTCTTTTTCAAATTTTAAGCAATAAGGTACATAACCTCCTGCCCAGTACATAAACCCAATGCAATTTTTAGCAGGGGAGTGCCGGTGAGTTAACATTGCTTTGCCCCAGGCTAAATTATTCAGACATTCAAGTAAGTTTTCTTTCCATGAGTTAGGGAGAAGATGTAGTAAAATGATTTCAAAATTCTTATCAGCACAGTTGCACAGGTTTATGCTGACAAACCAACAGGCTAGGCATGACAGAGTTCTTAGAATCCACCATGGCAGGGAAGGTTTTTCTCATCACTGCTAACCACCAGTCCTTGGCTGTCAGCAACATTTTCAGCCCTGTGCCAAATACTTCTTCGAAGCAGCATTAGATAATAAAATGTTTTTAAAAGTGTCAGCAGTTATTGGATTATATATACTCAGAGTCCCATCATTCCAAATAAAACCTCAGCTGAAAAAGATTGTAAAATATCCCCCAGAAGAACGGCTTCAGTACAAAGACATTAATGGAGTATTTTTTCTGGTAAGATTTCAAAACAACATTAATAACTCCATTATGTTATTTAAAGCAACAGCTCCAGGATACTGGGCCTAATGCATCTCTAACATTAAACAACATTGATTCTGTTCATAGTTATTCAAAATACCTACAAATGATTTCACCACGAGTTACTTAGCAATGTCTTATCCACAGTTTCCCTATAGACAATCAAACCAAAATTAAACAATACTTGGTTGTTTTTCCTTACTTGTAGTGTGATCACTCATCTCCCCCAGTCCAGTATTAATTCCAGCATCTATTGAACTCATGATTTTATCAATCTACAAAAGAGACAACAATGAAAACAACTGATGGATCCCATCTTCATTATTTTATTTTAGTTTTCATGCATCAATTTATGGCATTGTTACTCTCATTCATAAAACAATAATCAAAATAGCAAAAAGCAAAAATCAAAAGTGAAAATTAATTTCTCCACTTTGATTTTTATTTTGTAATATTTTTATGCTAGTAAAAGCTAAAGCTTGGAACTAGTATTTCTTTTTCTACAGTAGAGTTCCTTTCATACTGATGCCATCTAGGTATTATCACTAGTGGTCTATTTAAGCAGTAATATTAATGAATAAAAATATTTTTCGTGTGTTCTTAAGTATTAAAGCAATTGTTCAAGTAAGATGTCCAGAGAATTTCCTACCTCCCTTTTTTTCATCTTTCCCAAGGCTACTGAGTAGGTATGAAACATTGCTGTCCCCCCACATAATGCAGAATGATATTCTCTGTGAAACTGCACTGCATCGATCCCAAAACTTATTTACATGTTTCTAAAGCACATTGAACTTACTATGTCAAAACCATTTTACCTATTTTATTTTCTATAAGAACAGGACAGAACAAAAAGTGAATCAAAACGCTGGTGTGGACTAAGAAGGCAGACACAGAGAAGCATATTTTACTAAGCTTAATATTAGGACTAGTAGAAAAAGTATGTATTAGTCACTGGTGACAGGAGGCAATCTAGCCCTTATGACAGAATCTGCAGATTGGGAATCCATACCTTTTTTTAATATATATGAACTGCATTTTTTTACTCTTAAGAACAATCGAACCTTGATGCTCCCCTAGAAAGGCAAACTTGGAACTGACTCTAATTTTTTAGAGGACAGGATTTTATAATAATGTAACAAAGTTATAAAGATTGAAACCTGATCCTTAGTGTATTCCCGCTGAGAAACTGTCTCCTTTAAAACAGAAACTACCTTTAGATGCCCTATCAAATTAGACATGTAGATGAGCTGAAAACCATTTTCTAGAAAAATAACCAATCACATAATCAACCTCTGTGTTCTTTCTGAATGAAAAAGCACCCTGGAGATAGATACTTTTCCCCTTTGTAGTTGTTTTAAAGAGAAATGCTCGCTTCTCTGTAGGGGCACGAAAGATATTTTACCCTCTTAATTCACCCCAATGAGATGGGAACTTCTGTGTTTATGAAGAATCTTTTACATTCTTGAAATTCAGCACAGGAGAAAAAAAACTAAACATAAGGTGCCTAAGAATTATTTTTAAATTGAGTTCTAAACCTAAAATAAAGTCTCTCATATGAGCAAGTGTGTGCATTACAAATTCAGTGTGGACATTTATGTTTATGTGGACATAGTCCCAAATTTATTGCAGCTATAAGTGTATTCCCACTTCACACAAGTCAGGTATGTGCCAAGCATTTTGTACACAGGCTACATACCAGTTAGAGGATATGATACACAGGGAGGGTTTGTAGAATGTAACTCTCTATTCCCGCCATTTTTTACTCTCTCTTGCTGGTAGACACTGCCATGGTGGGAAATAATTAGCAAATATGTAAATAATGGGCATAGTTACAAAGGATTTTACCAGTTTTATTAGTGTCAGTGGTGAGGGCTTTAGTAGACAATAATTTCAATGCCACAACAAATTACAGAATTACTTCTGGTTAACTTCATTCACTACGGAAACAATAGACTTTATTGAGTGGGCAGCATTGGAATAGAAATGCTTTGCATTTTGTGCCAGCTGTTGAACTACCCTGCATTACACTGTGACATTCCCTTTGAAGATTTGCAGTGTGAAAGATTCACTTTTTATTTCATCTCTGAAACTGAAAACAATAACAGTATCTTCACAAGACCATTTGCTAGTACTTAAAAAATGAACAAAACTTACTTCTTCCCATTCTGATGTGAAAGAAGGTGTTCTCTCTGAATTCCCTTTGGAGCACTGTTGATTTGGTGTGGGTTCACTCCAATTGCTTCTTGCTTTTTTGTCATTTGGTGGACGGGTGATAAGATTAGAATCAGATTTAGAAACATTTTTGCACAAATGCATTTCAAGTAAAGTCTTCGGTAAGGATCGTATTCTCCCAAGCGTGCATGCTCGCTCCACAAATCCCCCAGTGCTAATAACCCATTGTTCACTTATCCTTGGTGCACCAACCAGTGTATGATTTTCTACTGGTTTATTTTTAGTATGAAATATGGTTCTGTTTACAATTGGTGGTTTTTTTTTCTTAACAGGAGGATCAGAGCTGCTTTCTTTTCGTAGCTGTATCTGCTGCACTGTGCTCTTGCTCAAAATGCTTTTCTCTAGTGGACCACTGCACAGGTTTACTTTGCTGTACAGCTGGAGTGGATTTTCAGGTGGGTCACATGCAGGTGATGATCCATGAAGTAAACCTGCAAACTGCTCAGCGGGGTGTCCTTCTGGAAACTCACTTTCAGTGGATGTTTCACCCTGGCAAAGTTGCTCTGAAATGAGAGAGTACATTGTAAAGAAAAACAGGATGATAAAATACTGCAAACCACAAAACCTTTACTCTCCTCAACATTACTTTTGTATGCTACTTGGCTCTTATGTAAAGAACAAAAGATAAATATGCAATGAACTGATTTATTAGTTTCTTTAAAAAAAAAAAATCTCTCCTTAAACTCGATTATTTTACCCTGACTGGTTGAAGAACAACAATGCTCAGTGCTACACATAAATTCCATGAAAAAACAGGCCATTGTTATTCCATCATCATAATGGTGTCTCTTTTAATTTGTTATTGAGTTGAAATGTGTAAAAATTAAATATACAGTTATTATATACAGTTTCGTATGATGAATTAGGTAGTTATTTTGTAGGTGGTAAAATACATGAAGAACCAGTATTGCCAGAAGCATTTTTAGTAACTTTTCATTTTATAGTCATTATAATAATAGCGAATTTACACTATGATGCCTTTTTACTGACAGTCGCTAAAGAATAGATCTGAGTGTTGTTTTTATTTCTAGGAACTTCTGAGAATAGTAATAGCAACCATTGGGAAAAAAGAATATAAAAACTAGTCTTTTGAAACAAGCTTTATATGTAAGTTAGAAGATATAGACACAAAAAGGAACTACAGAAAAATGCACTTTTTGGCACACTTCAGAGTCAATTATTAAAAGTTTCTAACTCTTTTTTATGCCTGTTGCTGTAAGAAGTAGGAGGCTAAAAAAGAGACTTGTTCTACCTATGCTGCCTCATAGAAAATGTTGGCGTGGTTAACATCACTTTATCCACATAGCATTAAGTTAGTAAATTTTACTCAGAATAACTGTGTCCCTGCTAATGGTCACATCTCTATAACTACTTCATTAAAGATAAATACATTCATCTCATTCTTGCTAGAAGTTTTATGCTCATATATAGACTCCAAGTGTAGGACTATATGCACAGCAGTAGCTACCAGAAGAAATGAAACATAAATCATGTCATAATTTGCAAAGAAATTGAGCAGTTTTCTCCTATTAGCTAAAATATCTGCTTGCAATAAAACCGACAACTAAATCTCAAAATATGACTTCTAAAAGAAAGCAGTGTTCTATTTCCTTCAGTGTTTTGTTTTCCTTCAGTGTCTTGTTTCTTCAAAACATCATCAGCTCTTTTACTAGTCAGCAGCGTAAAAAAAATAAAATTAAATGTTTTTATTATTTGTTAAAATATCATAATAAAATTCTAATCAAGCTTAAGAGTGCAACCTAAGAAAATATACTTTTCTTCTTCGGGAAACAACTGACTAGAATACACACTTCAGACATTTTGCAACTAAAAAGATGTGAGCTGTTATGGAGAAAGGTTAAATATAGGACATGACAGAGCTTAAGGGATCAATAAATGCAGAAAAAGTTGGTTTGGTGGGAAAAAGCAGCAGAAAAGGAGAACATGGGGCATTCTCACTTTCTTTGATTTCTGAAAGTTGCTAGATTATACGTATGTCTGCAATTTTGAAGGTGAATTTAAAATAAGAAATAAATGATGCAAATAATTATTGGCTTTGGTGGTTTTCCTTTTAATGAAATACTCAGTAGATGAGATTCCACTCCAGATTAAGACATCTCATTTTACATATCCACATGGGTAAGAAGTATGTAAGCTTCCACCACAGTCAGAGATCAGACAGATAAAATCAATGGATCTTATCACTCCTTGCACTCTAAACTGTGTAAACTAGACTGCCAATGACTATTACGGGAGACAGCATCCATTTTGTGTTCAGATGCCCACATTTAGATATCTCATTCATGAGCTGAATCCCATTCTGGTGTTCCAGAGATGCGCCTTATATGTGTGTATTGAATTCATTTATGATATAAATGTTTTTGTCAGGGCAAAGTAAATCAGGAAGAATAAATCAGAAGAGAGAAGAGCTTACAGACCTGGACTACAAGAATTTCACTAATATCTACATTAACTTCACTAATATCTTTGCTACATCTATACTACTAAATAATACTGGCCAACAGCTCATGCCCTTTAGCTTAAACTCTTCTCCTTCTCAAGACAGAGCTGGCCCATCCAAACAATTACTGGGAATGGTCTCTGGCCTCAGCTAAAACTTGCGCTTTGTTTGGATACTCTCTAGGTGGGTACTCAGTATTGGCCAAACCTTGCAAAAACCCAAACAATTTAACAGTACAGACTGCCAAGAACCAATGTCATCTCATGCCCTGATTTTGTTCAGTTTACTACTGTAAACAAAATAAGTTCTTACTGAGAACTCCCATTCCTCTGTGGTCAGTAAGTATATGTAGTGACCACTAGAAAGTGTGTGTGTATGTCTTACTTTCTAGCAGTGATGCAGTGACAGCATATCAAAATGTTACTTCTGGTTGTTTTGTTAGTCAAAATGGCAGCAGTTTAGAATCTATTCAAAGACTCCAACTATATTGTATGAGCCTTTTTCAGCTTGTTCTTTCACTACAGTTATGACATTGTGTACATATAAGTATATACATAATCTACTCTGGGTACAGCTTTCATCTTTAAAATACCCAGACAAATACTTCAGTGAAGTCAGGAAAGATTAAAACAAAGGTTGACTGTGCAACAATTAATCTTCTCATGTGTTAGCAAGCACTGTATTTCACTTTTTATATGATCACTACTAGCTTTCAAAAACACCCTGCCTGTTTCACTTAGTGTTCAGAATGAAGTCTGCTTAGTGAAGAAGCAGCTCCACAATATTTTCGTAGTATCATAGAACTGTTTAGGTTGGAAAAAACCTCTAAGATCATAAAGTTCAACTGTTACCCTACTACTGCTAAGTCCACCACTAAACCAAGTCACAGAACCATAGAATCATAGAATCAACTGGATTGGAAAAGACCTCCAAGATCAAGTCCAACCCTTGATCCAACACCACCGTGGTTACTAGACCATGGCACTAAGTGACAAATCCAGTCTCATCTTAAAAATCTCCAGGGACTGTGAATTCACCACCTCCCTGGGCAGCCCATTCCAGTGTCTGATTACTCTCTCCATAAAAAATTTCTTCTTAATATCTAACCTAAACCTCCCCTGGCACAGCTTAAGACTGTGTCCTCTTGTCCTACTGCTGGTTGCCTGGGAGAAAAGACTGACCCCCACCTGGCTCAAACCTCCTTTCAGGTAGTTGTAGAGAGTGATGAGGTCTCCCCTGAGCCTCTTCTTCTCCAGGCTAAACAACCCCAGTTCCCTCAGCCTCTCCTCATAGGACTTGTGCTCCAGTCCCTTCACCAGCCTTGCTGCTCTTCTCTGGACCTGCTGCAGCACCTCAATATCCCTCCTGAACTGAGGGGCCCAGAACTGCACACCAACTCCCTAAGTGTCACATCTTCACATCTTTTAAGTACCCCCAGGGATTTATATGCTTTTGTTAAAGAGGAGTGGTCCTAATACCTACTTACTGCACAGCCTATAAATTCTTCCCTGTATATCAAGCTATTCAATAGCTTCTCAATTTTTTTATGATGCCCATTATCTAAAGGGTTCACAAACATGAACTCATGTATCTTTTCAGGGTGAGGCTATAATATGATAATACACTAATTTGATAAACAGGAGATAAGGCACAAGGATATAATGCTGAAAACGTACAAGAGTTTGAGCATCCAATTTGAAATTGCATTTGAAAAAGAACAGTTGCAACTGACTTCAGCAGGTCAAACAAATCAGACCCCTAGTGTGTCAAAGTCAGCACTCAAAAAACCAAGGAACAGTGTTAATGACTACTTGGATAAACTTTGGTCTATCTTGATCAGTGGAACAAAAGCTCTGGTAGCGTATTCTCTCTGTGGTGTTCAGCTGTCGGTTCTTCTCTTTGGTAACATTTGCTTTCAATAAGAGCTTTCTTAATTATGAGACAAAGTAAGCAAAGATCTCATAGCTATGCCTTCTTCACCCCATGATTTTGAGCAATGCAAACAACATCTATATCGAGCAACAAAAAAGACTGGGATCATCAGGAAAAACACATCATGTGGTCATGATAAAGGTTAAGAAGTAAGCAGCATTGCATGCTGCACTGCAGCCCTAGAACAGGTTATCCAGAGTGGTGGCACCTCCAACCCTGGAGGGTTTCAAGACCTGTCTAGGAAAGACATGCCTGATCTCATGATGACAGTCCTGCTCAAAACAGGAGGACGGACTAGATGACCTCTGGATGCGCCTTCCAACCAACACTTTCATGATGCAATTACAACTCTGAACCTTTTGAATTAACAACTGTTAAATCTAGTGCTCTTTAAATACAGATTGTATTATTATTTTAGTTTCCTGATGCAGTTAATGCTTAATATTTTTATGTTCAGGAAATAAGGAAAGCACAGAGATGGACAATACCACTGATCTAAGTAGTATACTAGCCTACCACTCACTATAATGTTCTAAAGAAATCATAGAAGGAAAAAAAATAAATCCCTCAATAGATAACCATAAAATAATTTCCCAGAGTATGCTTTTCTTTCTTATTCCAAGTCAGCATTTGTTGACCTAAGACCTAAATGAGATATTTAATAACCTCTTCAAACTACACCGTTATCTAAAACAAAAACTATGTGTCTTCATTGCTCATGTGAATATCAAAGATCTCAGTCTCAAGAACTAAGGTCCCCTGGTAAAATGTTTTTGCAGGTGCTGGAGTCCATCAGTGCTGGTCACTTTTCAAACATCACCTCCTAAGGGCACAGGAGCAGACAATCCACAAACAGAAGTCAAACAGGTGAGGTAGAAAGCCATCTTGGCTGAGCAGGGATCTTCTCTTGAAAATAAGGAAGAAAAGGAAGGTGTGTGCCCAGTGGAAGCAAGGTCAAGTGACATTGGAGGAATTCACAGATGCTGCCTGCTGCTCTAGGAAGAAATGATCAACTCCCAATCAACCCTGAACTTGTGCAGGAACTGCCACTCCAGTTGGATCCCTATAAATCTACGGGGTCTGATGGGATTCATCCAAGAATCCTGAGAG